TCAGCTGATTTTGTGTGAATTAAGTGACGTTGTTGCGTCTCGAGCATCTGCTCTCTCACGCAAGTGAATGCACATTTTATTTATTTTTTTCCGCTTCATTTCACCTCTACAGATCAACACGGCTGCCAACATACGGATGGTCACCTTCACTGACCTGACTCCTTTCAGCATGTACCAGACGACCGTGGCCGCCATAGCAAGCACCGGCGAATTCGGCGAGAGCAGCCTTCAAGGACCATACACTCCGGACATGGTATCGTTCAAAACATTTCCGGGAGGTATGCCAAATGCTCGAAGAGAGCTCGAGTCGACAGTCTGCCAAAGTGCAGTGTCAAAACATAATAACTGCATGCGCCCTTTTTCGTTTGAGCTGATGAAGAATGATGGGACTTGAACTTTCACACAATATGACATACATTTCACATATCCCTGCCTAGCAAAAAGGTGGTCTCATTCCGGCTGGAGGGGACTGTAGTTGCGACCTCGTTCCAACTGGTCTAATCAAAGCCTCCAGCAGGACTCGGACCTGAGTTTCGTTGGCGCAACGTGCAGCTTCGACACGCGACGCCATAAGCCACTCTGTCGAGAGGCGAATGCGAAGTAAGATCACACCCTACCCACAACACATTCTTCCGGTGGGATTGGCAAAGATGCCAAGTTGCATTTGCATGGCAATCGACAGCATTACTTATTTTTCGTATTATAAGTAGTCTTTCAAGACCACCAGTAGATTTGATATAAGATCTGTATCCAATCTGTTTTGTCGACAATCCAACCGAAATCCAGGAGTAGACATCGACGTTCTGAGATTGTATGCTGCGCTACCAAAACTGAGTTCCGAGTCCCGATGGGGGCGCTCAAGAGGCCGGTCCAGATGAGATACAAATGCAGTCCACTTCTGCCCGAATGGGGATAACTTTCGAGAAGTAACGCGATGCAAAACACAACGGAAAACTGAGACCCAGTCATCAGCTTGTGGGAAAATTCAACCACTAGTCGATGTTCGTCTTAA